AAGTCCTGCTTACACCTAACAAGTGCTGAAGTGGGACATAACCAGAGGTAGAAAGGTCTCGGAAGCACTTGGGAAGAGGCTTCCCAAGACCTATCCAGTTCTGAACGGAGAGACCTAAGTAGAATTTGTCAGGTCCAATTATTCGACTCGGGCAATCTATTGAAAATTGAATATCACGGACAATTCAATTTTAAATAATAATAATTCTTTTCAGTAAATTACAATAATAATTTTTAATATTGTTTGCCGTTAGAAGGACCGTGGAAATATACAGTAGGAAACATATACCTGTAATGATAATAATACGAATAATAATAATAATAATAATAATAATAATAATAATAAAATGTGATAATTATAAGATTGAAAATTGAATTTAGAAAGATTGAAATATTAAATGAATTGAATTGAATTTCAGTAGATGGAATTGAATTGAATGATATGTGATATTCAATGTTCACAATGAGTTTGAAAATTTCACCTTTCATTGAAAAATCGACAATTGTTTAACACGAAAAACCCAATTTTCTTCAATTTTCAAGACGAATGATAAATTTAGTGAACACTTTCATTTGAAATTGAATTCACTCTCACAACATCGTTAATTCAGATGACACTGTAATTGAAACTTCAAAAAATTTCTAACAGTGTAGAGGTGCATTCGGAACTCCGAGATACAATTTCTGTTTGTTGTTATCTTACTCTTTTACTTCTGCATCAAACAATACCAAAAGAATAATCGGATTATGGGGTTGACCTGAAAAATAAAGATGGCAATGGTCGAACGAATCAAGGAGAATAACAGACTCGCGGATTAGTCGAGATAAGCGGCTTGATGTATATTCGATAATAATCAGGTGAATTTTTTTTTCATTTCTTTGTTAAAAAAAAAACGAAAAGTCTTTGGTGTGGCATGCTANGGGGGGGGGGGGGGGGGGGGGGGGGGGGGGGGGGGGGGGGGGGGGGGGGGGGGAGGGAGGGGCGGTAATTGCGGCAGTTTTCAAAGCCTCGAATTAAGGACGCAGTGTTATTGTCGATCGTGATAAAACAGGGAGAAAGAGCATAGTAATAGCGGGGGATAAAGTAACAAGTTTTCTATAGCCGTTGGGTGATAAGAATCTCACGTGTAAATGTATCTCCGTGTGTTGGGAAATGGTGGAAAGGGGATGGAAATTGAATGGAATAGGATGATCATAAAAAAATCTGACCTTATCTCTGATCTCCTGTCGCATTTTTTCTCGTTCCTCCTCCATCTTGCGGTGCTTCTCTTTCCGTCTCTCCTCAGCCTCCCTGATGGCCTCCTGTCTCTCCCTCTCGGCCTCTTCCTCCTTCTCCTTGTCGTCATCGTCACCACCCTCGCCACCTACCGCCCCTGGGGAGGAGATAAAGAGTGAATTAGAGACATTTGTTAGGGATTCCAATAGAATTGGCGGTCGGCAAGTGCACTGTTGGAAAAAATGAAATTTCGTGGACAGTTGACTACTCATTTTCAGGACAATGACACTGAATGCGATTTAGGGGAAAAGAAGTCATGAAATTTCAGGCTTCACGGAAAATTGAGTGAAATTGCTGAATTTTAAGCAACATAAAGACCAGAATTCCTTAATTTATTTGAATTTACAATCTAATATGAATATTCAGTGGCAAATTACATTGAATTTCCAGTGACGTCTGAAGTTTCATAATTTTTAAACCCCTAAATCGCAATCACCACCTTAAAAAAAATGAAATTTCATGGACAGTTGACTATCAAAAACAACAACTTCACTTCCAATCTTTCTTCCATCAAATCTCCGTTTTGTCTCACTCAGCGGAGCATCTCAATCTCCTTGGAAATCATAAGAAATCGATTCCGATAAAACCCAAGGAATATTCTCAAAAGCGGAGATAAAATAAAACAAGAAAAATTCTCCTGAAGACATATTGCCTCGACAAAACAGAAGCATATTATGTCATTAGGCGATAAGAGTATTACTATTCGCCTTCGGCTCGGATTATAAAGCCACATTCGCCAGATAATGCTTTTATCGCCGTGTGATATACGCGTCACTACCGAAATTTTCTGCTTTTCTATTCATTTTCGGAGAAAAATGGAACTGAAATTTACACTTCTCCCTGATTTTTCCATGAAATTCAGAATTTTTACTGACGAAATTTCTTGAAATTTCAGTGGTAATTAAATTCGATAAAAATTTCTAAAAAGTGGGCCGGAAATTTTAGACAAAAATTTTTAGTGTGGTGACATGCGCTTCTGGGCATTTTTTGGTGAAAGTTTGAGGTACACTTCTAGGAAAGTTTTATTCAGTGTAATTCAGTGCAATTGGACACTAAATATTTAGGTTTTGTGTGAAAATACGAGGCACTCATTAGTCACTTTAGTGTACAGAGAAAAAACCATTATAAAAATTCTAGTGCTGGCCCTGGAAAAAATCTCAATCCACCATCTACAATTTCTAGAAATTTCTGATAAAATTTCCAGGGATTTCCGTGTGAATTACCAGGGATTTTTGTTACTCAATTGAATTTCCAGTACCGGTACCGGAATTTTTCCCTGGCTTAGTGCTAGAATTTTTCTAGAGAATTTCTCTCCCTGTGAAATCTGGAATTTCGTGAATTGTTTCACTCCGAAATCGCAATCAGGGTTACTCTTCTGAAAATGACTGGTAAACGGAAATTCCAATTGTTTCCAATGATACGTGACGAGCTGGGTCTACTTCCTAACTACACATCATTCGTTGCTCCATTGTCGGCAATAAAATACGGTTTGTGGGGCTGTGGAATTAGACCCAGACAGTTGGGCGTTCCTCGTAAGAGCGTTGATTCTGGTATTTGGAAATGCGCGTGTAAGCTTTCTCTAATGGACGCCACCCGCGAGGATTGACCCAGTAACGACCTTGCACAACGACCGCCCCTTATGACCTCGTTTGTTCGGTGACCTTTAAACGAGTTCTGGGCGGTCCACCTCTAGCATTTCATACGTTCAGGGATTTCCTTCGTAATCTAATGTCCAACGCTCGCTCTAAATTCTCACTGAAATGTCTGGGTTTTTCGCGATTTCAGTGGTGCGAAAACCAAGGGATCTATTTTACATCGAATGAAACGTGAAAATGTCGGTTCAAATGTATATCCGGTGGCTATGAGTGAGAGCCATACAAACCGACGACATTTGAAATAGGGTTTGGTGGTGTGGGGCTGAGTTATCGATACTCGTGTGTGCTACGTGCCTCGCACAGAAACACCCGTTGACAAACGATTTTCAGTTGGTGAGAGGTTCACTTCAGTTTCCAAATCGTCGATTACGTCGGACGACAATTTGGGGACGATTGGCCGGAGCTTAACGCACGACTTGGGGCGACTGTTCTGTCGAGGCAATATGTCTTGAGGAGAATTTTTCGATTTTTATTTCATCCGCGCTTTTGGGAGAGTATTCCTCGGGTTTTATCGAATAAATTTTTTACAATTTTTACAATTTCTGGAGAATTCTGATACAATTTCCGGGGATTTCTGGGATTATTTTCCTCGTCATCCTTCCAAAAAATGGAATTGCGGTATTCGACATTCAGTGTCACTGTCCTGAAAATTCAAGAATACATTTACCGGAATTTTCTGGTTTTCTCGTCATTTTCAAGGAAAAATGGAACTGAAATTTACAGTTCCCTTGGATTTTTCCACGAAATTCTGAATTCTCAATGACGAAATTCCTTGAAATTTCGGTGGTAATTGAATTCGATAACATTTTTCCAAAAGTGTACCGGAAATTTCAGACAAGAATTTTTAACAGTGATTGACATATCTTGGGCCTATCAGAAGAGAATTATATGAATAATTTCCTGTTCGGTAAGTTTCCCGTGGGCAAGGAGAATAAGAAAAAAATAATCAGCAATTTTATTTTAAATTTCCGATTGGATGAATCGTCGATTACATTGGACGATTTATATTGGACGACAATTTGGAAACGATTGGCCGGGGCTTAACGCACGACTTGGGACGACTGTTTTGTCGAGGCAATATGTCTTCAGAAGAATTTTTCTTGTTTATTTTATCTCCGCTTTTGAGAATATTCCTTGGGTTTTATCGAAATCGATTTCTTACGATTTCCAAGGAGATTGAGATGCTCCGCTGAGTGAGACAAGACCGAGATTTGATGGAAGAAAGATTGGAAGTGAAGTTGTTCATGTTTCATCATCGAATATAGAAAGCACTCAACTAAATTACCCAGTTGAGAATTTGAAATTTTTCCTCTTGAATTGTATTGTCAGTTGTTGAATACAAGTCTTTCAATTTTAATATTTATTCCGGGTGCACTGATGAATATTTAAATTACAGTTTTATTGCATTACGGTTCAACTGAAATTTCAAGGAATTATTCTGATTTGAAGTTCAAAATTTTCTGAAAAAATCAGGGAAGCTGTAAATTTCAGGTCAATTAGCACAATTTCGAACTGTATATTTATGTTTTGATTGAAAATTCTATTAAATTGAGAATTTCTAGTCTTGAAATTACATCATTAATCCCCTCTAAATTGAATTCAATATCACTCTCCCGAGAATCCCCAACTATCCACGAAATAGCCATTTTTCCAACAGTCCATCACCCATTTTATTCCCTTTATCAAAGAATATAATTTAAAATACATATCCTCAAGCTCTTCAGCCCCGCAGAATTAACACTCACCGATTGGTTGAACCACTCGGTCTGAAATTATTAGCGCATGCTAGTCTTTTATTTTCCGTACCCCTCACTCCCTTTTTCTCCTTATTTTTCCACACTCCGGATTATTCCAATTAGCGCCGAGGAATTAATGGGTAAAAAAGACTCCTCTAGAATTTCCTTTTTTTCAACCCCTCGTTCAATGCGCTTTTTTCACCCTCGATTATTGTTCGTCCAATTTCGTCGGGGGACAGTTCCGGTTTTCGGAATGTTCCGTGGAAACTTGGAATAATGGATACTCTGAGAGAGTTGAAAAAATGGGATTATGATGTCATCATTAAAATCGAAAAAAATTTGCAGCTGCTTTGATAACGATCTTCCACACTCTCGCACGAGCCACTCGACCCACATACTAAAAGTCTTTCAACATTTTCCCCCGCTCCTTCAGCTTCTCCCACTCATTTTTTCATCCTTATCAGCTCCACACGAGCCTGATGAAACTTTTGACCGTGATACCATCGACGATGCCTCAATGGTCAACTTGTCTTCCCATTTTGAAGGCTTCGAGGGCCCATTTATACACCGTCTAGTGGGACAAAAAGAACTGAAACGCTGAGAGAGATCTGGGAGGGGAATCCTCAGTACTCTAGGTGAGAAAAAAAGATGGATAACGGGGAGAATAAAAAAGTCGAGGGGATAAAAACGATTGAGAAGACTCTTTTCTGCACAAATATACAGCTCATCATATTGAGGATGTGTATGCTGGGAATTCTGCCTGCAGAGAAATAGGAGAATACAGCACCACGAATCCTCCTCCCTCCTCCCCCCTTTAATCTTTCAACGGTCTAATAAAACGTGGTTAAGCTTGGGCGCCAGGGTGGAGATTCAATGGTGAAATAGCACTATATTCACCATCTTTATCTCACTTGCCGCAAATCCGGGGATGGAAGTGGGTTAATTTTCTAACTCTGCACCTATAGCACGGATAATGCATCTCGGTCGAGACTGAGTTATTAACTTGTGTTGTCTTCGAGTTGTAAATATGTTTGTCTGAGAAACGAGGGGGGAGGGTTTACGGGGGCTGACACTGAGGACGAGGGGATTATTATGTTTATGATATTAATTATTGGAGTCTGGTGAAATCCGGAGAAGTTGTTTGGTAGAGTGGAATAAATTATTCATTTCGTTGTGATGAAAGATTCATTTGGAAGGAGTGAATTAGTTGTTCCGTAGGAAATTGATGAGAAAAATTTGGAATTTCGGGGACGGACGACTGGTTATTTTTAATTTTTAGGGTGGAATTTTATTAAGGGAAAAAATCATGAAATTGCGGATTTCAGTGAAAATTGTACACAATTTCACATTTTTCAGCAGGAGGAAGACGAAAGTTTCCAAATTGACTTGAATTTTCAATGAAAACATGACTATTACACGCTATAATTGAATTAATAATTTATAGTTTCCATTGATTTTTTTCTCAAACAGTGAATTTTTAATGATGAAATTTCTTGATAATCGAATATGATTATTTACCAAAATCCAATATCGATGCGAGTCTAAATGTAAATGTAACCCAATTCAAAGTATCAAACAAGAGTTTATTAGAACAAAATTGTTTATTGGAAGGAATGAATTATTGATTTTATAGAAAATTGATAAGAAAAATTTGGAATTTCATGGACAGTTAAGTAGTCATTTTTAATTTTGACGGGGAAATGAAT